CACAATCAGGGCCTCTCCAGTTTTCCTACTTCTCTCTGTGAGCCCCGGCCCCGGCCAATGATCGCTGAGGCGTGTACACACACACACAGACATACACACACACACACACACACTCTCTCTCTCTCTCTCTCTCTCTCTCTCTCTCTCTCTCTCTCTCTCTCTCGGGCATCTCCCTGTCTGGACAGGCGGGCCCCACACATGGCAGTGGCCAGGCTGGGATCCGGTGGTACCCAGACTCTGAGGAGGGTCTTTTCTTCATTGTACAGATGGGTAAACCGAGGCCCAAGGTAGGTAGCAGCCATGAACATGTGAGACAATGAGTCTGTCGGGGAGGATGGAGAGGCTGAGGCTGGGCTACAGCTTGACACGTGAGGGCACGCACATGGCTTCTCACACGCGGGCGCAGCTCTGCCTCCCCTCATGGTCTCTGCTCCCTCACTTTATCCTCCTGGCGCCCTCTGAGGCGGAAACGAGGAAACTGCCATTTCCAGAGGCTGAGTAACTGGCCTAGGCTCACCAGCCTAGAAGGGATGGGACCAGCGTTCAAACTCAGGCCCACCCGGCTCTTGACTCTAGAATCATTGTCTTGGACAAAGCTTCAAATCCATAAGGTCTGCTAGTCTCCGACTCCGACTTCGGAGTTTGACCCTGGCTGGGCCTTACCGTGCTGTTCGTGAGGATCCATTTGAAGACTCCAGCCTGTTGGTACGCAAGCCCAGCTGTGTTGAAGAAGTAGTCGGATATGCCCAGGTACACCATGCGGTCGTGCACAGGGGGAATCGCCATCACCGGAGGGTCAAAAGGAGGTGAGCTGCGGTTGGCCTGTCTGAAGAACTCCCCCTAGGGGAAGAGCCGGTAGAGTGGCGGGGGGGCACCCTTCGGGAGTCACAATTCAACATCTCCATCCCAGGAGAAGCCAGATGGGGACACCCATCCGACGGAGGACGCTCTGATGACTATAAACTGGAGATAGCACCACCAGCCTTCTGGGTGATGTTGCCAAGTGCACTTCTCTGCCTGCCCCCCACTGTACACAAGGGACACTGAGGCCCAGGGAGACAAGGGGACCCTCCTAAGGTCACACAGCTGGTAAGTGGCAGAGCCAAGCCCTGAGCCCTGGCATGTAGAGTCCAGGGTAAACTCCTAGCCACTCCATCGGCTCAGCCTGCAGCTGCCGACAGCACAGGGCCCAGCAAAGAGCAGCCGGACTCTGCGTGTTGTTTCCTCTGATCAGGTAGCAGAATGGAAAGGAACTAAAGTTTTGTGAGTGCGGTGTTTGTTTTAAATTGATACTGTGGTGTTTTGTGTTTGTACCCTGTGTGTGTGTGTGTGTGTGTGTGTGTGTGTGTGTGTGTGTGTGTGGTCTGGGTGGCAGAGACTGGGAGGAAGCAGGGGAGAGCCGTGCGGAAGTCTGGCTGGGGGAGGACCCTGAGCAGAGGGAACCGTACATGAGAAGCCCGGACAGGAGAGGCACAGAGAGGCACAGAAGCGGGAGGGTGGCTAGAGGTGGGGAGGTTAGGGCGGGGTGAGGCAGAGAGGGGGCGAGGTTGGTTTTGGAGGCCGATGGGGAGCCCTGGTCTGAGGCAGAGGTGTGAGCCTTACCTTCATCTTCAAGGTCAGGCTGTCTGCTGTTACTTCTGGAGGAGCCACCAGACTATAGTCGATGTCAGCCACCTTGTCTATTTTGGATGTCACTGGAGACAAAGAAGACAGAGGATGAGCTGGCTTCCATGGCAGCGTCCCTAAGACTGGGCTGGCACCGAAGCTCCGGCTCCATCGCAGCTCCTCCAGGCCTCCTGGACTCCCCTTGGAGGAAACAAACCCATACTCCGCATCCACAGATGTGGTCTTAAACCCTCCTTCCAACAGTGCCAAGATGTGTGGCTAAAACACAGGGCCAAGGCGACGGAGAGTCTGTGCGGCCTTGACAGTCCTTGTACTCCCCAAGCCACTTTTTGTCAGATGTGGTGGGGGAGGGTGTCCGGAACCTCTCTGGAGGACTCCGTGAGCAGGTGCTCGCTCGGCACCCTGCACACACGCAGACACAGGAGCAAGGAGGGCGCTGGGCTGTTTGGCCCCTGCCAAACGAGTGACTGTGGCTGCTTTTTCAACTCATTTCCAGACCTACCACAAGGGCCTGGCTCGATGCCAGTGGCCCGTAGCCTGTTCTGCCCAGGACAAGACCTGGCCCGCCCACCCGGCCTCCCTCCCCACCCCCTCCTACCCCTTCTCTCCTCCATTCCCACCCAACCTCACCTGGAAGGGTCCTGATGTACTGCTGCAAGTTGGTGTTCACAGTATTGGTCAGTATCTTGCAGATCTAGGGAGAACGGAAGACACATCAGCAAGAGCTCCCATTGCCCTCTGGAGAAGCCCAGCCTCATCTGTCCTCCAAGACAAGCTCAGGTGATTCCTGGAAGCTGGTGGTTTGTTCATACACAGCCAAGCCAATGAATGGCCCTTTCTTGGCAGAGGAGGCTGGCTTGGGGGGAGGTTCGAGTGTGGGGAAGGTTGGAGAGCACCAGCTGGTGCCAGTTCCTTGTCCCAGTTCCAGCTGCAAGGAAAGGGCCCCAGCAGGGCCTCGGCCAAAGCCCAGCTTGGAGCTCCGTGCATGGTATGTGCTCTGGGTGGGAGCATCAGGAAGGACATGTCTAGGGGAGACAGTGTCCTCTGCCAGGGGACAGTGGAGGGGCTCAGGCAGCACAGCAGGGGCTGGCTGTGGGTAGGGAAGTAGCCCTCTCCGGTTTCTTGGGGGATTCCTTAGCAAAGCTGGATTTGTGGTTTCACGGGGCCGTAAGAGCTGCCGAAGGAGTCAGGGACAAGAACAGAGGTGTCCCTAAGGCTGGAGAAGTCTTAGGGACACGGCCCCCAGGACTCTCCTGCCATGGCCATTGGGAAGATGCAGCCCCTCTTACCTTGTTTTGCAAGGTCTTTTGGATCAAAGAATCAATTCTCTTTTGGAAGAGACGGATCAGCCCCCTGGAGGTTGACATGGAGAGACATATGTGAGGCTTCCAAGGGTACCTGGGCTGGATTCAGGAGGCCACCTCCTCTGGGAAGCCTTCCTCCTTCCAAAGAGGCCTTGGCACCCTTGCACGTGGGCTCCAGCCATGCACAACCCATACACATTTTCCCCTGTTTGTCAGCGGGGTTCTTTTGCTGCATGATCATGTGCTGCCCAGGCCCAATCTTCCTCCTCACCTCCATCTGTACCTGTCTCCATACACCACCCCACAGGCCTGCCTTATTCTCTGTAATCTGTGCTTCCTCCCACCACAGTGCCTTTGCACAGGCTGTGCCCTCGGCCTAAAACACCCCCATTCTCAACAGCTACCTAAGTGACTCCTACTTATTTTCATTTCAATTCAAATGTCATTCACGGAGGAAGAACTGGGCAGGTTGCACCTCATTTTCCTGCTCTATGTATGTATTCATGCACTTGGAGCCTCTATTTCTGTTTTTTGTTTTTGTACTGGGAATCGAACTCATGTTCTTGTGCTTGCTAGGCAGGCAGTAGGACCACTGAGCTAAATCCCCAGCCCTGAGCCTCTATTTCTTAGTTATTTCCTTCTGTAATTACAGATGAGCCATTCACTAATTCAGTGTTGGGAGTAATGCTTGTTTTCCCCACTGGGCTGTGTGGCTGACAGCCTGGGCCAGAGAGTCCTGGACTGAGACACTCACAAGCCGCAGAAACAGGTTACCGGTCTCTCTATGCCTTGGTTTCTCCCTGGAAGTGACATAAGAACAGACCAGCTTCACTGCGTCATGCGTGGACTGCATGCTGGGACAATTGTGCTAAAACTGCTTGGCATACAGGGAGCCTCCAATCAAGGCCACTCAGGTCCAAGTTCATATTGGTGGCTGCTGTTCCTGAGCGGGATGTGCAGCCTGGCCAGCAGGTGCTTCTGGCAAGGGTTTATGGAAGGGATGGATGTGGGCTGCAATGAGGCGCGAGGGTGGGGTCACTTAGTGCGGACAGACAGTGCTTTGCAGGAGCAGGAGCCGGGAGTCGTCAGTGCCAGGCAAAGACCAACAGGTACTGAGGCCCGGGGCTGGGACAGCCTCCCCCTGCCGCCGTGGCTTGGCATGGTGGGCAGTTCTACTAGGTCCCTCCCTCCCTGCAGTCACAGCCCAGGAGAACCTACCCCCATTTGCTGTTTGAGACCCTCAGGGTGACGCGGTTGATGTAGTCCTTGCAGCTGGAGCAGGCAGCAGTGATGTGGCCTGAGGCGGGGTCGCTGCCCAGCTTCAGATTGGCAAAGAGGGAGATGCCTTCTGCGCGCAGGACAAAGTTGCCACCAGCTTTGCTGAAGGGGAACAAAAACAGGCGAGTCAGAGGGAGCACTCCGGTCCCCACTGCTGCTCACACTTCGCGCCAGCGCCAGAAGGTGGGTCTCGCTGTCCTGCCCACTGCAGGGCAGAGGCAGCGACAGAGGACACGCGGCCGGTCCGGGGTCACACAGCACTGGGCAGTCAAGTCAGGATGCCAACGTGAGGTCCAAACCCTTGCTTGCCTGGCAGACCCTGTTCTCAACTCCCGCCTCACGCTCTGCATGTGTTTTGGGCTGTGTTTCTTAACTTCTCTGAGCTTCCATTTCCTCAGACCCTAGGCCAGCAAGCAGAAACCAGAATGAATGTCTCATTTTGCCACTAAAAATGTGAGTGTTTGAGGCCAATGGCTTTAATCCTTACTGTACCATCAATTAATGAAGGAGATTAAAACTCCTTTCTCAGGGAGGAAATGAGTTTGGGTAAAGTTGGACATGAAGGTACTTTGTCATAGTGTGATAAAGCACTGTTAGGTTTTTTTTTTGGTGCTGGGGATTGAACTCGGGTCCTTGTGCTTGCAAAGCAGGCCACGGAACCCCTGAGCTAAATCCCCCGCCCAGTATTTTTTGATCAATAAGTGAAATGATAGACACAAAGGTGCCCAGGTCAAGGTTTATGCAATTCTTACTGTGGGGAGAAGGCTGGCAGGCTGACCCACACCCCTCTCCACCCAATGTGGCTTTTCCTGCATTTTCTCCCCTGCTTCCCCGAGCAAAAGATGTTCTCGAAGTGAGGTTCGATCTGAGCCATCATTATTATGGACAGGGTCATTGTGGGGAGACCCCAATATTTAGATTCAAAATTGTAGCTTGCAACATCTGCCCCAATTCATCACACCTCCCTGCACCCACACTCTTGCCACTTCCTGTCATAGGGGATGAGATGTATCTCTCTGCTCTTGGCTTGGGGTTGGCCATGTGATATCATTTGGCGGATGCTATATGAGTAGGAGTGACCACGGGCCTTTTCTGAGACCTGCATGATCCTGCGGCCCCTTTTTGCACCTTTACTGTCACCAAGGATCCACTCTGGGTAGCCCACAGGTCCAAGGAAGACAATCAGAGTCTCTTTAGCCAGGCTCACCCTAGATTGGCAGAACCCCAGCTGACACACAGCAGATAAGATGACAACATTGACTGTTGCTTAAGCTACTGGTGTTGGGATGTTTGGTTGTACAGCAATAGCTAGCTGACAAAGAGAATCAATGAAAGGTCCCGCTCAGGCTCAGCCTTCCCTTCCAAGCCACATGTACCAACTCAGCCTTGCCAGGTACTATTTTGGGGTGTGGATCAAGGGTTATGCTGACTCTCAGGTGACCAGTTCCTCCACAAAACCTCTGGTGACAAGAGATGATGGACAAGGCAAAAGATGAGCACTCCTCACACCCTGGCTCTAATCCCTTCCAAACAGCACCAAGAGTTCACCCCACAAACCCCAAGCATGCAGGCATACAGGAAACTCTTTTTGGCGTTCCATTTTCCACTGACAGCCATATTGGCGTTGCTGATGGAGAGTTGAAGGCCCACGTCGGGCTGCAGTCTTAGTCGAGGACTGGGAAGCTGGAAGTTGAGGACCTTCAAGCTGCAAAAGAGAATGATTTGTTCAGCTTCCTGGGTGTCTGCACCAGGTCTTGGTTAAGCCTTCACCACATCCGCTCCATGGGGAGCCAGAAGCTCTGAGAACAGCCTTAGCAAGCACGGGCATGCTGATGTGGTTTGGTCTTTGAAGACAGATACATGTGCATGTGTGTCTCCCACTTCTGTTGTGTTTCCCTGGGCCTAACATTTCACTACCCAGAGCCTGTTTCCCATCTGCAAAGTGGGCACAGTCATCTCCATCCTGCAGGCTATGAGACTATTGGTGAAGATAACAAATGCTAAACTCCTGACTACAGGCTCTATAAAGGGCCAGAGTGTGTCTGTTTTGTTTCATTATTGCAGCCCAGACACAGCGTGGGTGTTCAGAATATCCGTTGAATGAATGGGGTAAAGAATTCTTCAGCGGACATTTGTGGGGTTTTTGTCCAGTGTCCACAGCCCCTTCTTATGGTAACAGCCCTGCCATTCTTTTGGGAAGCTGCTTCCTCTGTGTGCAGAGTGCTGCTCCCAAGAAAGTTGACTTTATTTACTGTACCTCTATCGAGGGTGGAACCTGTGACCCAGGCTTAACCAATTAGTATACTTTGTTCCCTTGGCCTCAGTGATTGGTTCAAGGGTATGTATGTAACCTATGATGGGCCAATCAGAGTGATCCTAAGGGCTTCTGTTTGAGTTAGAAGGAGAAAGTGCTCTCCTTCCAGGACTCAGTGCTGAGATCAAGCAAGAGTTGCTGGTGGCTATCTTGTCTCTGGAGGGCCACTCTGCTGAGAATTAGCTCCTCCAAGAAAGCAATGTTGGAGGTGGCAAGAGAGAGAGTGTCAATGGCCTTTGAGCCTGGCTCAGACTGAACCAGCAGCCAGACTATTCCAGGGACTTCTTAGTCACATGAGCCAAAGATTTCTAGTTTAGGCCATTTGGGATTAGGTTTTCTGTCCTTGAAACTGCCCTAAAGTCCTAACTGATAAATGGATCTTGCACAGAGTTTTATAGAGTTCATGACAGTTTCCCAGGAAGTCATGGTGAGAGCAGGAAAGGCAGATTTGGTGGCTTCCACCATAGCTTCACCTGTAGAAGTTATAATTTCCCTTCCCCAATAACTTGATCTTGAAGTTTCCGGAGAAGTCAGGCAGCTTGATGTTCTCCAGCTTCTTCTGCAGCACGGCCATTCCCTGCTGGCAGGCTGAGGGCAGAACAGGGTGGGAGACAGTCAGAGGCACAGCCAGCACCTTGTCCATTGTGGGGAAAGTGGGTCTACATCAGGGGTCTCTGAAAGCTTCCAATAGAGGGCCAGATAGTAAATATCTCCAGTGTTGTGTTTCACCCTGTCTGTGTCACAGCTGCACCCCCTGATGCCAGTGTAGAGTGCTGCTCCCAAGAAAGTTGACTTTACTGTACCTCTGTTGAGGGTGGAACTTGTGACCCAGGCTTAACCAATTAGTATACTCTGTTCCCTTGGCCTTCCCGTAGCACAAGTAGCTATGGACCATATGTTAAGTGCACACATGTGGCTATGTTGCCATACTTTATTTACAGACAATGGATTTGCAGTTCATATAACTTTCACTTGTTGTGAGATATTCTTTTTTTAAAAATTTTTTACTCATCTAACAACATAAGAACCATTCTCAGCTCACAGGCCATACCAAAATGCGTAGCAGGCCATGTTTGGCCTGGGTCCTCTAGTTTTGTGACCCCTGGTCTAAAATACCTCCTCTCCAAAAAATCCAGTCACGTGAGCTGGAGATTTAGCTCGATGGCACCGTACCTTACTCACAATCGCAAGGCCCTAAGTTTGATCTCTGGTACCGGAGGGGGAAAAGAAGCCAGTCATGTATCCTAATGGTATTTGTTGCATCGCTTCTTGGCCTTTCGGCTAAGATCAAGTGTGGTATTTGTTGCACACCTATTCCCTGCCGTGCTCTGTGCTTTGCCCTCACAGTCACCCTACCTCTCTGAAGTTTTACTCTCTCCATAGGACCTGTGCATGTGCTGTTTCCTGCTTCCCTTCGTATTCACCTGGTCAATGTCTAGTCGCTTCCTTTGGGAACCTTCCCTGACCCAGTAGACAGAGAATCCCCCTTGTTATCATTTTCACAGTGCTGTGGACAGATTTGGAGTCCCCATTACTGTTTGTAATTATGCATTTATTCATGTGGCTCTGATTAATGTCTCTCTCCCTTGCTAGATGTAAGTCCCCTGAGGTTATCAGCAATGTCGGTTTTATTTATTAATGTGTCTCTTACATTTTCCACTGTGCCTGGCACTTAATATCTGTTGGATAAATAAATGAATGCCCCAAAGGCAACAATTCTCTCATGAGTTATTATGGAGCTAACAGTATCAAAGAACCAATTAACAGGCAAAGACATTATCTGAGAAGGATAAGTAGTAAAAGCCAGGAGCTTCCTAGCCAAACTTTGGGTTTTCAGAGTGATGACAACAGACTGCATCAAGCTCTTACTCTGTGCCAGGTGCTGTTCTAGATTGTGTATTCTGTCAAGGTACTGACTAAACGATCCTAGGAAGGAGGTCCTGTTACTTCCCCATCTCACAGATGGAAAAGCGGAGGCTCAGAAAGGCAACATGCTTTGTTCAAGACCACACAGCTGGCAAGTGGTGGGGAACTCAGGTGTCCTGGTCCCAGAGCCCGTGTCCCGAGTAACACTGCATATGTGGTCACCACCAGGAGAGGAAAGAAAATATGAGATGGCCAGGATCTGTGGGTTGGCCAGAGCCAGAGCCTTGTAGGGTCTCCAGTGCAGTCCTAGAGGCCCAGGGTAGGTTTTGAAGGCAGTGGGTAGCCAATGAAGTGTGTGTTTGTGTGTGTGGTGGGGGGGTGATACCTTAACACACTTGCTGCATTTCAGAAAACTCACACTGGATGCCACATGGGACATAAGAAGGAGGGAAAAGGAAGGCAGATATGGCTGAGCACCAGGACTTCGGGGCTGAAAGCCCTCAGTCGAGCATCTGTTCCCAGGAAGCCTACTGGAGCACCCCAGCTTGGAGCTGGAATGTACTCCTTCCTCCTCAGTCAGTGGGTCCTCTGCCTGTCTACTACTCTCCTGGGATCCAGAGCTGTCCTACCTGGGTGAGAATTCAAGAGTCGGACACCAGGTCACGCTGAGTCCTGTCCTGCTGGTCCCCACGGATGCATCAGGGGCTGAGAGCTTTGGTCTGATTTCTTGGGCCTCTGGTCCCTACCGCGCTGCACTTCATCTTTCTTTCACTGAGAGGTGCCACTGAGCCATGCCAGGGTGGCAGACAAACCTGAGCCCTAGCTCAGACTGCGCTCTCTCACCTGCCTCCCGAGCCTGGAATTTGCTCACCTGTGACTGTAGCTGGGAACAGTATGTCCCTCCCAGCCTCCCAGCACTGCTGTGAGGATAAAGCAGTCTGCTTGGGTAAAGCTGCTAGACAGAGCTTGGTCCACAGCAGAGCAGGCCAGCCAGGGCCTTCGTGCCTTTCTCTTCTCTCTGGGCCTGGGGGATCCTCTCTGAGTCACCCAGGAGGTGCTGTGAACAATGTGCCTGCCAACCCCTGCGCTAGGAAGGGCCCTCCCCTCCCTCCTTTCCCCTTCCCTCCCCTCCCTCTCCTCCCTCCTCTGCCTCTAGAGGCAAATGGCAAGACTGAGAACAGGTTTTGGAAGGAAGAGATGGGCCCAGAAGCCTGAGTTTTGGGGTGGATAGAGGGAAGGGAGCATGAGGACTCTCACAGGCCTGGACACTGGACTTAAGAGTCCTCTAGACCAGTTCTCCAGTCCCAACTCTGCCCCTTCTCAGCTCTGTGATCTGGGGCAACTCACTTTGCCTCAGTTTCCTCATATGTACAGTAGGGGTGAGGGAGCCTACTCTACAGAGCTACGAATGTACCAGGCACCAGATTTAAAGGGCTGTACACAGGAGGTGTTCAATACCTGCTTTTCGGGGATGGGAGAGCAGGGAAGGAAGGCACCCAATTACCGTAGTCCAGACCCTCCTGGGAGATCTTCATCACAAAGCCAGGGTTGGTGGCCACTGTCAGGGCTGTGCCCACAGTGGCCAGCACCACCAGGGTTGTCCATTTCACCGCGTTGTCCGGGGCTCTGGCCATGTCCTCCTGTGTTGTCCAAGCTGCCACAACCTGCAGGCCACGGGAGAAAGCCAGAGACCTATAAAGGAGCCAGCAGGGGAAATGCAGGTCGGACAGTGTAGAAAGGAGGAAGGAACCTGGTGTGGCGGCAGAGAGGGGGAGCAGCTGCAGTCCCCCAGGGAAAACATGCTGCAAACTCAGAGGCAGCCTCAAGGTGTCCCTGGGAGCCTTGCACACTTGTGTGCATGTGCTATGTGTGAGTGCACCCGATGTGAGTGCGGGCTGGAGACTCTGGCTCTGGCCTGTTTCCTCTTCCTAAGCATCCCATGCTCAATCCTTCCATGTGAGGACACAGCCCACCCCCGAGCACTGAGGCCTGAGCCCAGAATCTTCACACTGAACTACAATCCCAGGTCTTTTAAAAAAATGTATTTTGAGATAGGGACTAAACTGCTCAGGCTGGGTTTAACTTGTGATCCTCTTCCCTTGGAGGCCTCCCAGAGCTCTGGGATTACAGTGTACGCCATCTCATCCAACTTCTTAAAGTTGGCTGGTAGGTACAGCAGGGTTTATTATAGCTTTCTAGTTTAGATTTCTTTGGTATTTTCTATAGTAAAACATTTACGAAGACAGAACCTTCAGCAATTTCTTGTCCCAAAGGGCAGTGGTGGTAATGATTAAGTGCTCCAGTTCTGGAGTCTAGTTCCTTGGCTTTGACCCTCAGTTTGCCTCTTTGTAGAGTAGGGAGAATAATAGCACTTTTCCTCACTGGGTTGCTATGAAGACAGAACGAGATTTAAGTCAGATCAAGCAACTGAGCACAATGTCCCTTTAGATGCAACTATCAATGTTACTGACTTCAAAAGTTACTTGTGTACCTTGACTAAATTTTGAGAAAGATCAAGAGAATAAAAAGTACTGCAGGGCCAGGGATTTAGCTCAGTGGTTCCGGTGCCTGCCTTGCAGGTGCAAGGATCTGAGTCAGAACCCTGGTACCCCCGCTCCAAAAAAAAGTACTGTAATGTAATCCCTTCCTCAAGAAACAAGCAGGAGCATATTTTATAATATTTTCTCCTCTTTCATCTATTATTGTTATTGTTATTAATTATTATTATTGGCAAGCATGCATAGATGGTCCTCTTTGCCTTTCTAGCAAAAATGGGGTCACACCAGCCAGTTTGGCAAAGTTCCCTTTCATCAATAAACCTTCTCCTTGGCATTAAATGTTTTATCTCTTCCTTATCTCACAGTTTTCTTAAGCAATTCTGTTTTCATACATTTTCTCCTCTTCTTTTGACGGGCGCCAAACCTGAGGCTCCAGGAGGGAAAGGTTCTTCCCACAGAATCGAAACACCAGCCCGAGTGCTCCCAAGCCATGGGGGTTGGAGGGACTGAGGCAGACACCACACCCCACCCCAGCTTGGCAGACTGGAGGGTGGGGACTGCTTCAACTCCCCCCATTTCTGCAGCCTCAGGCTCTGGGTGAGGGGGAACCCTCAGGGCAGCCTCTTGGTCTCCATGGTGACGAGAGGAAGGCCCCACAGGGAGGGATGGACCAGCTTCTCTCCCGCTGAGTCTCCATCAGCCCCCTGGTGCGCTGTCTCCCCCCTACACTGATTTTATGAAAGTCTAATGAAGCCTCCTTAGCCCGAGGAGGTGAGACCTTCTGAGCTGTTTTTTCCTTTTTCTCTTCACATAGTTCTAAAAAGGTCTCCTTCCTGCTCCTGTCTTCGACAACTGCAAGCCTATAGCTAAAGATGAAAACAGTGCCTTGTACCCAGTGCGCCAGATGCTTTACCTGCATTATCTCCAAGGTTATAGACAACTCACAAGGGAGGGATGATTATCCCCCTTTGGGAGATGAGGAAACTGAGTCACAGAGTGATTTAGGCACTGTCACAATCGCTGCCATTCAGGGAGAGACTTTTCCCCTGGCCTGGGGTGCTTGCCAGGAGGACTTGTCACCCCTTTCCTCACAACAGCTTACCATTCTTCAGACAACTTGGGTCCCATAGTCCAAGGCTGATTCTGGACGAGGACGCTAGCTCTTAACACACTGAGGGCCGTGGCTTGTCAAAATTAAATTCTTGAAATCTAATCTTGTAACCAGCACTGCATAATGGAACTTTAAAGGTTAGATTTTTTTTTTCTTTTAGGGAGGAGCAACTTTTCCAAACTCTCTCCTGCTGAGCACATAGCCAACACCCCTCCTTGCCTCAGCCCCAAAGAAATGATAGAATGTGCTGATGCCTGGCCCAGGAGGCCGGAGAGCCTGGTTTCCTTTCTGCAAGACAGGAGGATGAGCGGACGATGGCTGGAAGTGGTAACAGCAAGTGTGGAGATCTACATTATCTCTCTGTGTCCCCTCCCCTGTTCCTTACTATAAAAGACCCTTTCCTACCTGTACATGGTGAGAGCATGATCTGAGGCAAATAGGTGCCTCTGACACCTTGGAGCTAGCTTTGAATGAATCCTTTTTCCCTTTTGCCAAAACAAGTAGCCTCCTTTGATTTGGTCATAGTGAGCAAATGAACCTGAGTGGCAGGGAACATCCTGCATACTTTTGAACACCTCCAGCTCTTAGGTGCCTGCAGTGCCTGATGCCCCCAGGACCAAGCAGATATGGCATCTCTGAGGGTGTTATTAAGGAACATTAAAATGAAATCGCTCTGTCATGTGGCTAGAGAATTACAATCTGAAAACTGCCAGCAAGTTTCTGAACCAGCTGCCCCCCACCTCAGCTAACCTCTGACAGCTCATGCCCAGCCAAACTTAGCCGAGGGTGAACGAGGGCAGAGGAAATAAAGACAGGTAAACAGTTTCATCAGATAGGTTCCAAGAATGGGAGATAAGGAACCTAAACCCACCCTACCTGGAGGATAAGTGCAGGTCTTCTGACTCCTGTTGTTATCGTGTGTTGTGGGTTCTGGGGACAGGTTCTCAGGTTCTTATATGCAATGCACAATCATGGGTTTTTGTATGGGACAAGCAAAGAATAGGATGTGGCACATGGCAGTAAGTAAATAGCAGCAAAGTTTACTAAAGCGTCTTGCACCTGTGAAAAGAAAATAGTACTGAATGCCAAGGGTGTGGAGTATAGGGGTGTAAATGTCAGGCACCTCCTGTTACGGCTTGGGTCTAGATGTCCACCCAAAGACTCATTCTATCATAAATGGGGTCTTTTCAGAGGTAGCTGGATCTAGAGTGTGTGATGCTGGGATTAAGGGTACGTGATTACTAAATTAGTCCACTGATTGGTTTGGCATAGTTTCTGGTAGGACTGAGGGTGCCACACACTGGGGGTGAGTGCTACTCATCCTAAGGTAGAGACGGAAAGAAGGCCAGTGTGGTGGATTAACTAATGGTCAACTTGTAATGCCCAGCTGAACTGAATCAGTGTGGTTCTGGGCACAGAAGATCCACCTGAGGATTGTTGCCAATGGCATAAAAAGAGAAGCGGAGGGAAAGATCATTGGCTATTGATTTTCTTGGAGAAGCTTGTCACGGCTGGTCTTCCTGATGTGAACTTGGCTGTTTTGGCCACTGAAGGAGCTCGAGTCCTCGAAGTTGCTGGGAATGGCTACTGTTCTTGTCAAGGGAGCTCTGATCTTCCTCATGATTGCCACTTCTGGCTTCAGTGCAGATCCCTCAGCCTGTGTCACAAATCCTTCACACCACCAGCATAAGCTTTCTTCCACCACTTGCCTTTGGAACTTCTTAGTGCAGATCCTTGATATGGACTTGAATGAAACATTGCCATGGGCTCTAGACCTCTGGCTGGGTTCATGGAGGATTGCCTTAGCCTAGGCCTTTAGCTGGACGTGTGTGGGACATCGCTGTGAGATCCAGACCTGTAGCTGGATTCTTTGGGTCTCTAGTGTGTGGACATATTTTTTGCACCCCTCTGCATTTGAATTTTGGGTGAATATTGTAAAATAACCCTACAAATTGTGTCTTATATCAAATCTATTCCCTTTGCAAAACCTGACTACAATGGCTAGTGTGGTCACTAGTCACTGGTAGCTTGCTTCGTTCTGCCTTCTGCCCATCATGAACTGTGAAAGGGGTCTCGCGTGCCCCTTTGGGCGCCTCCTCCCAATCAGGTCACTCACGCACCGAGAGGTCCGGCAGGAGATCTTTATTGAAGGGAGTCAGGCGAGGCACAAAGGCCGGGAGGCGAAGAAAGGGAGGCGGAGTGCCAAGGGAAGGAGTGTTGGCTCATTTATAGGGTCTTGGGTGGGAGTTTTGCAATTTTAGGGGAATTAGCTGTTTTTTAACCTATTGCAGGCCACATTGCCTTATAAGGTCTTAGTCCTGCAGGAGTCCCTTATCAGATGTTGGCGTCAATTCTGGGAAGAATTCAACTTGGGGAGGAAAATGAAACTTAAATTGGGAAAACGAAACTTAAATTGGGAAAACGAAACTTAAGTTAGGAAGAACCCAGAAGTCAGGTATAAAATGGAGGAGTTTAAAGTAACATGTACAATTTCCTAACAAACTGTTTATTTTCTGTGCCTTGGAGCCAGTCATGCCACTGTGCTTTGCCACCCTGACTTGGAGTCAGCCCACTATGAACTGAAACCTCTACACACTGTGAGCTAAATAAGCCTTTCCTCCTTTGACTTTGGGTGTTGGGTATTTTGTCTTAGCTGTGAGAAAATAAGACACTTGCTGTCCAGGGTTTCTTCAGAACATTATTGACAGCATGATTGACAGGGTGCTGTTGTGCATGTCCTTTCTATAATTCACTCTGTTGTAACAGTCCACACAAACAAACTTTCAATGAGTTCCAGGGGAAGAAAGCTTACTCTAGGGCACACAGGGAGGTCTAGTGTACCTGTCCTGGTTTCAATTTTCCAGAATATTCCTTGGAGGGCTCTGGGTCTCTGTTTCCTTTCTGGGCCAGGATTGAGGATTGGCCCTGAGGCATTGCCCAGGTTTGAGTGAGTGGAGGGTAGTGGTTCTGTAGACCTAATTATGCTGTCTATATTACTGTCTCAGCAAAAGAATTTCCAGGATGTGTTAGAGGCATAAAGGGATTTATTAAGTAGAAATGTAAAAGAAAGGACAAGCTCTTGAGAGAGAAGTGCTTATTTTCTGGAATTTGGAACATTTGCATCTCTCTTGAGGGAGAAGAAACTCCAGGAAAAGTAAACTATGCCCCACAATGGTGCTGGCCCATTTTATAGGTATTGAGGCAGGAGATTAGGGCATGGATAAATGGCTGGAAAGTGGACATGACCTGTCAATCACATAGATCCAGGATACCTGGGTCCAATCAGAGGATACTATCTTTAATTCTTATGGTGTGAAATCAGGCAGGTTTTTAATAGGACAGCCTAGATATGACATCAGAATGGCAAATACAAAAGAAGGCAGCCATTAAGCTCATGGCCACTGTGCCTTCTTTCAGTAGTCGGCCCTCACTCTGCAAAGTATACTCCTTTTCCTACTTTTAATATGTGTAAAACCTTGCTACCTTTTGTGCATGTCTTGACTGATTCTATGTTCAGGACAACAAAAACCAAGAAAGAATCTTTAGAGTAGCATCCCAGAATCCCACTAACAGTGTGAAGCTAGTTTTTCCCTCACTAAGATGGCTAATTTAAGCATTCTTTGAATTCTCTCGACCTGTTCCTTTATCTTAGGATCAGGTTTCTGCTCTTTACTTTTTAAAACTTAAGCCAATTTGTGGGCTTACATTTTTTCAGAGGAATTTTGGGTGTGATGGTTCTGGAAGGAAAGGAGCCTAAATTAATCAAGGGAATGCAGACAGGGATTGCCTTGGGTAATTTAGACTGGGTCCTGGAAGTTGTATAAGTTTAGTTGTGATTTTCCTTTTCTTCTATTTTTATTTTTTCATCCTACCTCAGAAAGGAGAAAAAAAAATAATAATTTTTAAGTTCCGCTTAAAAAAACCGTACAGCTTCAGGACACAAAAATTACACAATGCTTTTTTTACTTCCTAGAAACTCACTAAAAAAAAAAAAAAAAAAAAAAAAATCCTAAGGGTCTTAAAGATACAGTAAGCCTGTACTTTTCACCTGTGAATTGATCTTCCTCCTGAACTACATCCCTGGCTCTTTCTTTCTCTCTCTTTTGGAGGCAGCAGTATTAGTGGGCAGTAGATCTCTAAACTTCAAACACATGCAGATGGTTTGCATTTGAACATAACCCACCAAATTGGGAGAATAGATACGTTCTAGGTCACCCATCTTGAAGATGCCCCCCAAGAACACAAAATCTCCAGCCGCAGAAAATAAGATGCCTCTCTTCTGAGTGTGTTCCTCTTTGTTTCTGCCTAATCTTTCAAATGCTTCTCACTGCAGGCATCCTGCAATATTCTTCGGTGATGTAAGTCAGCAAACCTACCACTTACCTCACAGATAGGGTGAGTTAAGTCCCCATCTCCACTTTGCCTCAGTTTTCTCCTTGTCCCACCCAGGCCTCAGCTCCTCTGGGTGTTTGGTTCCCAGGTTGTGCTGTCGCCCTACTATGTGGGGAATAGTGGCCATTTTACGCTGTTTCTTTAAAGGCCACATTGCAGTGGCCATCACAATGAGTGATGAACCTGTAGTAGATCATTAACCTTCTACCCTTTGAGCTCTGTGCAAGAACTACGCATACATCATTGAGCATCTAACTGCTTATCATATCTTACAAATATCATTTCTCTCCCTATCCCAATGTCACATCAAAAGTCCCTCTCAAGTACAAACATTTATATCTCATTCTGATCCCCTTGGCCACTAACAGTCAGTCTTTACATGTTTGTTAACTCTATCTGAAAGCACTGCTTCCAGTGACACCAAAGGAACTGGATCCGAACAAAACAAACATTGCTAAATCTTTAAATACCACCTGTGTATCCTCAGAACTGAGACGATAGGAGAATGAACCACTGTGACCCAAGTAAAGAGTGGTCCTGGATGACGTTTCCACACCATTCCCCCGAAGTTAAAGTCAAATGTAAATATCTCAGCCTTTTGCCATGATGGTACCACCCTCTCTTGGACATGTCCACTGCTCTCTTGCAATGAAGGTGTCAACAAACTTTTCTATATTTCTTGATTATTGTTTAACTCTTTTCACTACCTGGGACACCAGCCTCTCATACACCAGGCCTCACATGGCATTCGGATCCTAGATTGGGGGTGCAAGTGTAGGAGGGGCTTGTGGTGATTCTGAGAGCAAAGGGAGGGAAGGATTGGGCCCCTGTATACATCTGGCCTCACAATGCAGGTCCTAAAAGATGACCAGACACCTTGGACTCCAGTGACAAACTCTGAAGAGGAGACTATCTTGCTATGATAAGAAAGACTCTCCTCTCCAGATTTCAGTCCCTAAAATAGGGCACCTTTGGATCACCTGGTCCTGGAGAACACCACAGTCTCCCAAAGGAGAAGATGGGGGCAGAGAATTCTCATCATCAGCATGATAATACTGCTGTAAGGAGTGGCATAAAGGACATATTCCATAGCAAAGAGGAGTTGGAGCCCAGAGCATGAGCTCCAGGCCATGAGTACCTGCAGACCAGGCCTGTCCACTTCCCTAGGCCACCAGAAATTAGTGGGACTTAAGCCAGCTTCTCTGTGCTGATGGAAGGAGATGGTTCTTGAGATAGCAGGTAGAAGCCCCCATGGAAGCTGGTGCTGGAGAGGGGGCTGGAGGTAGAGGGAAGAAAAACAGCCAAGCAACAATGTCAGAAGACTGTGTGTGTGTTTGTGTGTGTGTGTTTGTGTGGCAGCTCCCACTTGTTATTCTCAGGAAACTGCAGCATGTGACTGTGTCACAGTTCTGGCTCTCCTGGAAGGCTTGGCCTCCTCCAGGCTCTGGGGAACAGGAAGAAAGAAATAGGCAGTTAGTTGCCAAATATCCCCAGGTCTCTGCCACCGGGAGTTTACACACTTAGTCACATTAGGAAATAGATGTGTG